ATGTTCTCACTTATTGGAGGGAGCTAAAGGTGAATGAATCAATTCACACACATACACACACCCACACACACACACACACACACACATACACAAAAACAAAGAAAGAAAGAAAAAAACAAAACAAAAAACCGGGGGGTGGGGAGAGGAATATATAACAACCACAATTTTTTTTTTTTTTGAAGTTCTTACAATAAGAAAATGGAGGGGACACCCCTGGGTGGGAGGGGGAGAGGGAGGAGGGAGGAGGGAGGGAGGTTTCGGTGATGGGACATAATAATCAACTACATTGTATATTGACAAAATAAAAATTCAAAAAAAAATAAAAACCTTCCTTTTTTTAAAAAAAAAAAAAGAAACTTTTCTTTTTTACTGAGTAATATTTATATTTATCCTCTACTTTTCTAGAATAAAATTGAGTAGCCTATTTGTAATAAACTGGCCTGTGAGACTCCACTTTCCTGTTTATTGTTATATAACTTTCAAACTTGAGATCACAACCTTCTATTGCCTCTTAACTATGAGAAACTATTAATTTTTATTCTATCATTGTAATAGAATATTGAATTAAAATTTATTCTCTTTTTTGACATTTAATGCATTTTATATTGTTGACCTGACCTTGTTATAATAAATTCAACAAATAAAATCTGTTCATACACTTTTACATCTGGAAGAAAAAAAAAAAAAAAAAAAACGATGTGTTTAACCCATATTCACATTCATGTGACTAATCCTATAAGAACATGAATCAAATGCAGAAGAGTGACTGAGCCAATCATAGTTAACAACCGAAGTGAAAGGTATTTAAAAAATATTTTCCAAATACATAAAAAAAAACCTTTATAAGAATAAAATTCTGTAAATCAAAAAGTGTACATTCAGAATATTTTTTCAAGAAAGAAACAACAAACATTTGATGTTCTTGAGGTTCTTAAGCCCACTTATTATATTTATCGTATCCCATTGCATAATAAAAAAAAATTATAATGTACTATTCTCAGTCTTAAAAACTACACTTTAAAGTTCGTATTTAGTTATATTTATTCACAAACAAAGGGTCAGAAAGCTAAGAATATGCCAAAACATATGCTTACATTCTATTTATATGAATGGGCAATTGAGTGAACTCAGAGCCATTGCTAAATATGAATGCAGTTCTACCAAAATATGATATTTGCTTTCTCACCTCTGTTATGTTCTTCTGATCTGTTACTTGCTTCACTTGCTGTCCTGCACACATAGCTGTCTTTCGCTGAAACTCTTGTTCCATTTGGAGCATTTCTAAATGTTGACTTAATGTGGCACCACCACTGACATCAGAATTATATTTGGTCCAGTTATGCCAGAAGCATTTAGAATTCTGCAGTGCAGACCCTGCTGATGTCTCATAGGTTTTCAGTAGCTTTTCCACAACACCATAATTTGACTTGGGATCAGCTGACCTCGGTCGGCCAGACAAATTACTTGGTCTCCAGTCATGCTCGTGGAGCCTATTCCGAAAACTGCTAGGACTTACGTGTTCCTGCATCTGTCTGACTAGGCCTATTGTGGATTTCCTGTTGGTATTATCAGGCACATTTTCCATGGGCACAGGCATGTAGGCACTGGTTTTCAGAATACCAGATGCATTGTCACTTTCTGAAATGTTATCTGTATGAATAGGTAAGGTATCACAGGGCTTAAGATCTTCAGATGATTTTGAGTAGTTTTGATTTTGCTGTATTGCATGACAATTTCTATCTGTTCTAAATACAATTCTGTTAAATTCATCAGTCTTTGCTGCCAGCTTTTCATTTCTTGTTGTCCTTTCAAATGCACAACTGAAACTTCGAACTGGGCCACTGTTCTGTGTTACTGAGGAGCTACAGTCATTACTTACATGATTGGGATGAGATTTAGCAGGCTGGTCTGGGATTACCTCATATTTTGGCTTATTGAGGGTAGAGCAAGTTTTCTGAAACAACAAAGTGGAGGGGCTCTTTTCTGCATTTATCCCTGTGTTGCATGACCACATGCTAAGCCCAGCCTCTTCATGATGTGGAGACTTGCTATCCATTCTGACTTCTGGTACCAAAGAGGAAAACATACCATCTTTCAAAGACTTCCCATTGTTTGGACACAGTATCGGCATCTCATGCTGCCTCAAAAGAAAATGAGGATCACAGTTCCTTTCATCTTGAGCCTCACGGACCACCCAGCTATTGTGTTTTAAACTTTCCTTCAACCTTTGTTGCTCAGAATCTGAGCTAGAAAAATTTCGAGAGGTGCTTCTTGGAGGAGGAACTGGTGGAATTTCATTTCTTTGCAAGTCAATTGTATCAGTTCCACATTTTTTCACAGAACTACTTTGGAGCTTGTTGGTACAACTCAGATTCTTTCTACTTTTCTGTTTTTCTTTTTCTAAATTGGCTGGAAGAATGTACTGGCCATTATTGATCATGTGGTGCTCATAAGGCGTATTAACTAAATTTGGCATTTCCTGCAGAAAAGAATCTGACTTCATCCTAAACAATTATAAAACATGGTATATTAGCGATAACTTCATTTAGGAAAAGCTCTTAAAAGAAACCACACCTTAAGCAGTAAATTTCTGCTACATGAAAATTATTACAGGTTGAGCATCCCTAATCCGAAAATCTGAAATCCGAAATGCTTCAGACTTTTTGAGTACCGACATAATGTTCAAAGGAAATGCTCATTGAAGCATTTGGATTTCGAATTTTCAGATTAGGGACTGCGTCACTGGTAAATATTCTGCAAATATTCCAAAATCTGTAAAAATCCAATATCTGAAATACTTCTAGTCCCAAGCATTTTGGATAAGGGATTCTCAACCTGTGTATAATTAAAACACATTGACATAGTTTAAAGATGTATCTAACTGGATTAGTTCAGGTGTATACTCTTCTACTGGCCAAATACTCAAAACGAAAAAGAACTACATTAGAGGATTCTTGTTAATTTATTATGGAGGGTCTACCTTAACTAAACACTAAAAGAGTAAAGTATTCCTAATAATCAAATTACAAAAAGAATTAGAGGGTTTGCTTTAAGAATTAGTGAACAGAGATACATACAATTAAAGTTTTTATCTCTCATCCAAGATAAAAAAAAAATGTCAATAACTCATTAATTCTCACTAACAAAATGTAAGGAGGAAGTAGTTTGGATTCATTAACTAAAAACAACATTCTTTTTTGATTTTCAAGCATAACATGATCATAGATGTACAAGCCTACCTTCTGTGGTTAGACTGCTTTCGAATCTCCTCTTGAAAGTTGCATAATTCTTCACTAACTTTGGCAAGTTCTTCAAGAGCCTTTATACATATAAGTAACAGCACATTAGCACTTTGAAATGTAAATATACCTTTGGAAACATTTCTAGGGCCAATCATATTTACTTACTGTGCTGAGGGTGCCAGAACAGCTCTTGCTGTCTTCCTCAGAAGTCCTCAGGTCAGGCCAGGTCTTGCATTCCTTTTGGTTATCTTTAGCCAAACGATCCATAAACCCTACTTTCAATTTTTTTGTTGCTTTTTCTTCCTTATTCCCTTGATTTCTTTCATTGACTAAGCTCTGCTCTGTTTTATTTTCTTTTTCCAAACAATCCTCGAGATTCATCCATATAAATTCATATTGTCCTGAATTAGAATAATTTGGAGAAAATTCTACCATTTTGTCTTCAATGGCCTTCTCATGATCAAGATCAATGACCTTGGCATGTTCATTCATGTTGATTTTCCTCCGAAGCTTTACTTCCTGGCAAAGCTGTAAGAAAACAAAATTAAAACTTTTTTTTCCTAATTCACATTGTTAATATTCTTGATACTAACCAAACTATTTTGAGTTCTCTTCGCCATATTACTATATATGACCCTTGGTATTAATGCTTACACCTCCAAACAGTGCCTCGAAAATATAGATTAGCTGGAACAAATTTGATGAGTCACAAAGACCACTTTTAACAGAAAGGCAACACATGGATGGTAACATCTATCTTTCTGACTAGAAATTAACTCATTCAAAAATAAAATAAACCTCTATAAATCACCTGAATCAATTACTGGCCATCCTCTCTAATTGCTTTCAGATAGAAGCAAGAGTTTAATGAACATTAAAGTCATGTTTTTTTAAATATATGATTCTACTTGTATGCCAACATTTAACTGTTTAAATAGTTGACAGTCTCATATAATAAGTCAACTCCTTCTGTTTCTTTTAGTGGGTCAAATATGTTGGTGAAGATGTTAGATATTACTGAGACTTTTTTAACATTAAAGCTATAGATATTCTAAAAAAGTTTCTCATCCAGATTAAAACAAACATGACAATGATCTATGTGATATAATAGAACTCTAGGGCTTTGACTATTTATTAGTCTGTGTTAAAGAGGACCCCAAATTATTTTTTAGTTAAACCTGCAGACAGAAACGCCATCAGCTCACCCCTGAATTCAGGAATAAAGTGGCACTTGCTTTAGGCTTGAGTCTTGAAAAAGCTTGTCAAATTTTCAAAGAGATTGTCAGACAACTACTAAAGGAAACCACTCTACATTTTACAGCCATGATCAATAGCTGCACTACATTATTCAAAGGATGTAATAACAGATTTACTGCTGCTCAGTATTTACCGAAAACTCAGTTGAGAGATGCACAATACATAGTTGATACCTGAAAGACATATGGTGCATTTATTTCCCTAATACTTATATATTTATAAGTATTCATTGCATAAAGTCAGGATAGCCTCAAAATGCAGCCACGAATCAAATCAATTGTTCTATTCTCTGTAACAGTATTCGTACTGAACTGCTGTTGACACTATGATTTGGGTTGACCTTGAGGAATATTATAAGAAGGGACCCTAAAAAGTGCCATGTTAAATCTAAGTTGGCTGTTGGTGACACTGTCCTCTTTTTAAGGAACCATCAGTGAAAATAAAATTGCTTTCATTTGAAAACCAGGGAAAACCATTTCTGGGGAGTAGGTTTGCTTTTTCTGAATATTGAGAAATAAGTACCTAATAAGTTTTGTGTTACTAGAAAGATACACTCACTACTGCATTTCACATATGATCCTTCCTTCTATTTATCACCTTTCTTTTTTTTTTTTTTGCATTCTTTACCTTATATGTAATTTGATGCCATCTTAAATTCTCTTGGGGACATAGGTGAGGTATGAATAAACAAATAACATAATATTATTGATGGGAAACCACTCATTTTGAATGAGGAAATCTGTGTTACCTGGTACTCAGCCCTTGTCAATGGTTATCTGATCATTCTACCAAAGCATACAAGCAAAAGATTGCAATGTGAAAATAAAAAAAAAAAAAATTCCCAGGTCTATAAACTCTACCCAGAGTTTTTATCTGAATTATTCCAAGTTTCAAATGATCCAAGTATGTACATCTTGGTTTTACAATAGCAAATGCAATGATTGTGTATAGTGGCTGAACAGAGAATCATGAGCATGTTAACACCCAATGCTTAAACCTCTAATTGGATGATATTATCACTTGAAATCACTGAAGTTATATGTGTGCACTTGGGAATCTATAATCCTTTAGTACATGGCTTAATAATTTGCGTCTGATTTAATACACAGAGGTTAGTGATAAATGTTAAACAAGTAACAGTCTTATGTTTGTGGCATGAGATTTTTCCAAGTGTTTGTTTCTTAATTTTTAAAAAATGGTCTTGATTCTCTGTGACATGTAAAGATACTTTTCTCTTGTTTTTCTCCACCTTTTTATCCCTAGCTTTGTGGCCTGTAAGAAGGTACCTTTTATACTTGTTTTGGTGCATATACTAATGCGTGTCTGTGTGTGTGTGCGTGTGTGTTTGTGTGTGTAAGATAAGGGGAAACAATGCTGGTATTCAGGTATTGAAAGCATCTATGGGCATTCTGTGTAAGTATATTATCTAAACATTCTGACAGCTATGTAGCTGTATGGCACAAACAGCAAGACATAAACAGCACCACAGCTACTCTCTAAAATGAAGAAAAAAATATTATAGTCATTCTGTCTTCCTCATGCAGAAAGGAACAGTATTTCTATGAGCTGTAACCCTATGTTTAATGCCTGCTAATTGATAAGGCTAATATTAACTATATAAGGAGTCTATAGAGTTGTCAGAATTATTGGACAATAAAGAAATTTAACCAGAAAGCAGATTGTTTTAGCTACATGTCTTAAACATGTATAGTATACAGGTCTATACTACTCCTCCATTCTTTAATTACTTTGCTTGGATGCTAGAATTATCTGAGATTGTTACCAACTGGGTCCCCCAAACCTTTGGCAGCCAATACCATGGCCCATGCCTACAGGTCAGTTTCTGATTGGAGTTTTTGATTCTGATTTGACCTAGACATCTCCTTGTTGATCCAATCTGAGTCTCTGGGTGCAAGAGTTAAGGAAGCAAGGAAAACACATTTTCCAAACTATAGAGGGATCAGAAGTAGATTCTCCTTTCAATTTCTAATCATATAATATATTCTTGCCTACTTAGCTCTATTTTAGAGGAAGGGTTTAACAGCTACCCTTCCTTATTTTTCCTATTAGCATGTCAATTTGTATATATTCACAACCATTACATGGCTGTTAATTAGAAAAATGTTTGTACCATAAACACTTAAAGCACTTATTTTTATTGCCTGCAAATAAAGGCCAAGGTGTATGTTAAAATAACCACCTTGCTAATGTCCACCGAACCATGTAAGTCATTACTATGGATGTTACCAGAAGAACGCTCAAGACAAGTATAAATAATTTCCAGCTTGAGCAGGCTTGAATATACACCAATGCAAATACTTAAAAGAAATATTCCAGGCCCAACAGGCTGAAGTACGGTTAATGAGAATAAAATGACTATTTGTCTCAGAGTTGTGACATGTCATTTTTTATAACCCATTCTCTAATAAATGTGCCAATAAATGTGGCACATCTTGCCAGAATAAATCTCATGTCCACTGCCATTTTCGTTTGATATATGACATTCCTTTTGATTATACTGAGTTATCTGATATGCAATTTCCTTTAGTAGACATTATTCATTAATCATCTCAGGAAAGATCTATATTCTAATGCCCAATTGTAATTTTGCTAATATACGTCCCGCCAGTTATGTCTCTCTTGCATTTTCCTTCTGGGCCCTGGTATTTAAAAACTCATGCAAAATACATAGCTTACTTTTGATACCAATGTTATCTAGCCAGAAAATAATAAATTGATACATCTTATAGTGACATTTCAAGTTCTTAATTTTCATGCAATGCTATAAAATAAGCTTAGTCCCTAAGATAGCATTGGGTAAAGATATGCTATTTTTGGTCTAGTAAATGTCACTGAGACATGCATATCCTAAGGGGAATAAGAAAAATAAAAATAGAATTTTTATTCTGAGCTTTAAGTTTATAATATATCCCAAACAAATCAACTTGTACCTCTTCAATCTTCTTCTGCATGATCTTCCATTGACTTTCCCATTCCTTTCTTTCATTGTCAAACTGGTCCAGTAATTCCATCTTTTCCTTGTGCCAGTTAGTCTCTGTGTTCTCCCACTGCTTATGTAGGTCCATGGCAACCGTGTGAGTGTCAGCGAAGTGTTTCTGCTTATCTCTGCTTTCTCTTAACTGTTTCTTGGAAGCTTGGAGTTGTTTTATTTGAAGTAGTCTCACTTATCTTTAAAATAAAGCCTAATATAAACATAAGAGAAAGTTCCAAATTCATGTGCTTTCTGAAAACATATCTTATCATTTTTGTCAAGAGCCATCGATAAAAACAAATTACAGGAAAATTGGACTTAAAAGAAGAGAAGAAATGGCAACAACCTGCTTAAGAAGAAACCAACACAGTCAGTAAAGTAGAAAGTATTGTCCAAGGTATTTTTTCCCTTTCTGAGACCAGACAGCAAAATTATAGTGGTTAAATGCACATGTGAGATATAAATATTCCTTTAACCTTTTCATCTAAAAATAGAATTTTTAATGAATATGTAAGAGTGGAAGTATGAAATTCAACTCTATGGTCACATCTACACAACTGTGGCAGATTCACTACAATAGAACTACTGTTTCTCCTCTGATGCAACCTGATTATATATTTCTGTGACTTACAGTCCTGAGCCAGAGCTGAACTACACTCTCAATTCTATATTCAGAGATCAAGCCCATGCCAAATGTGATTACTGTATCAACCATAGTTGGTAGCCAACTTCTTCTTTCAGCAAGAAACCAACCTAACTTATTTTTTTTAAAAATCATTATTTTACTTTATCAAGTAAAACCTAAAAGCATCAAAACTGTCCCATGAGACATATATTAAAATTTATCTATGCTCTCTTTTCCCTGTAATAGCAAGAGACTATATACCACAATCCATTTAGGATAAATGAATACAGAGAATTGAAGAAAACATCTTGCTCAGTTTGCAGGGAATCCTCTCTTACATTAAGTAGTGACTGAAATAATTAGATTTCTAGCATTCAGGGTATGTGTACTGAGGGTTTGAAGACACAATTTAAAATACCAGATATATAAGTCTGTTAAAAGTCATCTAAATGTTCTGAGATTCAGTTTATTTATATTAAAATGGGGACAGTCACATAATTAAAGATTAAATGATGCTGAATGCAAAGTGGTTTGAGAAATTTTTTAAAATGCTATTTTTTGCTTTACATGATTTTTCTTTGACTTCAATTGAAAATATTTTTTTGTTCTTTCTTTTTTTATCTTTTTGGCAACTGGCTGGCAAGTGGACCAGAACCCTTGATGTTGGTATTATAACATTACACTCTAACCAAGGTAGCTAACAGGCCAGCCCCAAAATAACTTTTATTAATAAAATCATATACCTTTTCTAGTGGGTAGAAAAGCATATTTAAAATGTCTGAATCTCTGTTTAAGATAATTATGCCTATAAGAATTCTTTTTTTTTTTTTTTTTTTTTTTTTTTTTCCGTGTCCGGCAACGGACCCCAACCC